CTAGAACTATGCCAGGAAATACTTCCTTTTTTTTTATTATTCTTGCAAATCAGCTGACCATACTGCATAAAATCTAATTATTCACACAGAAGCACCAAGCTCTGACGTTCTTATCTTGCAAAACACAGGATGTTGCATGACGTATGTAAGATTTGAGGCTTTTCCAACTAAACCTGTGCTTATGAAAAAGAATTATTTGTAAGGTACACCTGGGAAACCTGCGCAGAGCCTACCCCACCTTTCTCTTCACCAATACCTGGTGACCTAATCACCCCCCTCAAGTTCTCTGCTATGGCTCAAACACTTAGATTCAGGAATAATTATTTAGATTACTGCTGTATGATGCCATTAGCTATCCAAACCACTGCTAGTTTGGGAAAGAGAGTTGAATATTTGTGATGTAGAACATTAGTGACTTACCACTCGAGAACGAGAATGATCTCGGTGCTGGTTTCATAGACTTCATGCAGTGTCACCACAAAGGGGTTTGCCTTGGCCAGCTCCAGCACAGCAATCTCATTTAAGATGTCCATGCGGCAGTCTTGGCCCTTCCGTCGCTTTCGCAGGAACTTGGCAGCATACTGCTTCCCTGTCGCCTTCTCAATGCACTTCTTCACAACTGCAAACTTTCCCCTGGGAAACAACAACAACAAAAAGAGCAACAGAGTGTTTAGCCATGAAGAAAAATCACAACCACCTCCCTGTGTTTTTTTTAAATTTATTTATTTATTATTTATTTATTTTTTAATTTGTTTAGACATGGGTCCATTTCCTTTTCAAATTTTTACTGGGTTAAATGTAGGTGACTTAAAATGCATACAATCCACTCAATATTTGACTGTTAAGAAGACATGAGGCATTTTGGAAAGGCAACCCAATTGGCTACAAGTGCAACAGCGAGGGTGCGGTTATGGAAAAGTCCAGAGATAAGGTGCTTATGTGGCATCATTTGAAAAATTTTGACCGTTATTCACCACTGATATGCTGTGCAAAGGAGGCATTCTGTTGATAGATCCCCCTTCTTTCTCCTGTTCCTCTAGCCTTCAGGAGGGTCTGAAGGAGAGCAGATAAGGCTGACACTTTTGGCAAGAGCGGCAGAATAGAGGGCAGGGCTCTGATAAGGGTATTGCGACTTTGTAGGTCAAGCAAAAACAAAGAGCTGTGACAGCTTGGTTGCATAATGTCACTGGTAAAACACAGCATTAAGACTATCTACCGTACGTTTAATTTTAATAAACATTGACTCCCCCCCCCCCCCGAATGTACATTAATAGAGTCATAAAAGGTGCTAAGGGTCAGCTGTGGGCGAGGGCAGGATGTCCGATGTATTCAGAACTGCATTTGGGTCAAACCAACACAATCACCAGCCGTCGCTCCCAGGCTGAAAATGAGGCCTTGTGCACCACTTCCCTTTCTTCACAGCTGACAGCAGCAGGGACAAATGGAATTGTGTTGACACCTCCACCCAGACCCTCAGCCAGAGACTGCTTCTGCATTGACAGTCGTACAAAAGCTGACCAGTCAGCTAAACACAGCAGTCCTGAGACCAAGACCACCCACATGAATGTGACTGAGCAGGCCACACGCTGGGGGGGGATGTCACAGTTTGACAGTCGAGTTAGAACCCAAGCAACATGTAGACAGTCACTGTAATCTTAACATCTACACCTAACTAACATCTCAGTGTTTTCTTAAGCTACACTTTAGACACAACACACACGGCCTGGGGAAAGTGAAAATATGCTAGAAGATAACTAAATAAATGAAGCCATTTTCCTCCCACACAGTATTGCTTAAAGCTGACTGTGCTGCTGACCAAAAAACAGCTACTGTTCTGGATGGAGTCTGGTTGTGTGCTGGCTGCCACCCCATTTCCCAGTCTCGCAGTGTAGTGACGAGTCATTGTTCAGACTGAAAAGGCAAAAGCCATCAGGGGCTTTTCATCCTTAATTAGCCAAGTTCAGAGCTGTGGGCTGGGTGCTACATATTAGAGTGAAAAGAAATGACTAGTGGTTATTGAAAAGGGCAGCCCGTTCAAAGGCTGACAACAGGTCAGAGGTTACTAAACAAGGCCATCTTGTAGCCGGCCATGTTCACCAGGAAGATGAAAAGAATATTTTTGTTATTAAAAAAAAAAGAAATAAAAAAATATCACGCTATAATTTAACATTAAAAAAATATACATTTTTGCTTTTTTGGATTAAAAATACCAACATCTCACTGTTAACACAGAAAGGTCTTAACATACTGACTAATGATGAGAAGTGCTTTCTCAAATAATCAGCAATTGCGGTTATATAGTTCAAACAGTTCTCTTCAGGAACCTGTCTGAAACTCATCTGCTATCAATCACCAAATTTACTGTGACACAAAACATTCCTTTGCGCAAGATGGCGATAATTTGATTAAGAAACTGGTTTCCTGTGCAGTTTGCATTTTGTCTTCCCCAGAGGCTCACTGACTCATGTCTGAAGCGTAATGAAAAATGACAGCTCTTATTTGCCTTTTTCACAGACAGTCTGACACACAACCTGAGTTCCTCTTCCTGCTTTCAGGTTGCCCACAACATATTTTGTGCCCATTTCTGCAGGAAACCATGCAGAGCGTGATAATGAGAAGGCTTTAAAAAAAACAAAAAAAAAAA